TGGGGGAAGTGGGGGACTGGAATGAGGGCTGGGGAGGGAAAGGGAGGAAAGAGGGTTCAGGGCCGGGGCTGGGGCCGGGGCTGCGGCTGCCTACAGGCAGAAACCTTAAGCACGGGGGAAAGGCTGTGAGGAAAAAGCCCGCCCTGCTACGCGGTCACGCCATAAGGCCCGAGGTTCAAAATTAATCCTTTTCACTAGATACCTGAGGAAAAATTATTCTAACCTACACCTGAGCCAACAAAAAGCTTGCAGCTTGTAAAGCTGGGCTGTTAACTTCCATGACTACAATCCCTTACATCTATGAAATAAGTGAAGCTGAAGAAAAAAAAAAGCTAAAAACTCCACACGTGTAGCCTTTCTGGAAGAGACAAAAACTACGCTTAGCAGGCTGCTTTCAATCTGATGCGTCGTCAGCGAGGTTAATCTCTGATTCGCTGTATTCTGTAGAACACAGTCCTAGAGGCGCCTTTTGCGCAGTCGCAGCTCTGTACAAATTGGGGCGCGGGGGAGTGGGCAGGGGCAAAATCAGCTGACGGGACCCACAGAAGGTCAGGTCCTCACAGGAAGCCTCCATCACTTTAATAAGAGCACGGGACCTCTAGCTTCAGCAGCCTCTGTAAAACAGTCCAGTCAGCTAATAAAATGCTTGAAGAAGAAAACACGAGTCTATTATGAGGAGAAATCTTTTGTCAGGGTCCCAGCAAATTAGACAGCATGTCGACGAGTAAAACTATTCTAGTCGGTCATACCTGTAACCTTTGGTTTGTTGTGACTGGATGAGCCTTTGTCCCCAACACCTCTTGACATAAAGGCAAGTTTGGGAGGCCTCCTTTCCTGGGTCACACTCTCTGAAACAGCAAACCAGGTTTCTTAAGATAAGAGCAAATCCTTACAGAAGAGAAGGTCAACCACCAAAATACTTCTTTCTAACAAAAAGCATTTGCACAGATGCTTGACAGACTCTTAAAGGCATCAAAAATACTGAAAGAGATGATGCCAAAAGAAAAACCCACCCTTGTACTTCAAAACACAGTTCCCACAGTGCACCCCCAAAACAACTCAGAACAGTGCCTTAACTTCTTGAAAATGTAATCTCTTTTAGTCGTTTGTATTTCATGTGCTAAAATATGACAAAGCGAGCTTCGGTCCGTTTTGTGCAGCATTTCCCAAATCGGCATTCCCAAAACATTGTGTGTGTTACCATGTTCCAAGCTCTCATACTTCCAGAAGATGCTGAGATGAACAAGATAAACAGGACTTTTCACTGCACAGCACCAGAGTTTTATGTGCTGATGTGCACTGAGAGACTCTCAAAGAGGGTAAAGTGAGCTTACTTGATAATGTTTGTTGTGCCACTCTACTTAGTATACCAGATTAATGTATTTCATGCACACAGTTTGGAAAAAGTCTGGTGAGGAATGCTATCATTTTTCTAAAAAACACATTGTAAAGAACATCAGTGGGTACACAGACAAATAGGAAAAACAAAATTGTGCAAAAGTGATGCACAAAGTCGGAAGCAAGAAGCAAGTATCAATAATACTTTTGAAAAAAAAGCACTCAAAACTTCTTTTTGAAATACAAGTGTAATAAATTTCACAAACTTGTTTTTGACCCAAAGACAGCTCAAAACTTTAAGGGCCAGTAATTTCCCTAAGACACTCATCAAACAAATGCAGAACATCAGTCTCAAAAGGGCCCCCCTAAAAAGTAACAGTGTCCAACATGACACTGAGGAGTCAGGCCTGATAAGCTGTTAAACAGACCACAGTTGGGATTTTTAAGAACAAAGGGGACTGAGGGGAATAGGAGCATTTTTATATTTCAAACATAGGTCATTTTTTAAAAAGGAAATACTGAATGTATTATATATGAATGATGTTTGGCAGCTTTTACCCAACTTGATAAAGAAGGGGACTACTATTAAGATCTCAGAATATGACCAACTGGAATATTATCTTAATTAAAAAATTATGCCAATTAACCAAATTATGATGTTACCGTTCAGGTGTTTCCAAATGTCGCATATGAGAGCTACTGTGGAAAATAAAACTTCTTAGTCACTGGCAAAAGTTCCCAAATTATAACATAAAAATTGACTAAAGAAAATAATTTCTACTATTAACTGTAATTAAATGCAAATACAGCCATTTTCAAAAGATACTGACATGTTTGCCACAATCTATACACATTAGTCAGTGCCAATTATAACAAAGGCAGCAGGGTCTTAGTTAACTAAGGCAGTCTGAGGAGTGGGAGGTGACAGGCAAGGGGTCAAGGTGCTGCTCATGCCAGGAAGGGTCCCAACGACTGGGGACATGGATGCACTGCAGCTGGAGACCGTGGTTACCTTCTGCCAACAGACTTTATGGTGACAGTGAAAGGGGCTCAAATGTCAATCCTGTGGATTAGGACACTCCTACAGATTTCTTCTGTAAGGGGTCACACAACACATCTAACTCACCTTGCAATAATCATATAACAAACCTATCTTATTTCTTTGTCATAACCCTGTTCATGGCCTAAAACTACCTTAAGTGAATTTTAAGAGCTTACCATCTCAAGAAAGATTAAGTATGAGAAAGTGAACATCAGTAAGGAATAAATTCAGCAGTCAATATTGTGAGATTAAAATAATCTTGGTTACTGATTAATAATGATCATTATTAAGCTGAGATATTAAAAGGGATAGTATGATGGCACACCAAATGGCATGTATGGAATGTCCACAGCAGCCAGACTGATCATAACCAAAAGGTAGAAACCATTCTACTGGAAAATGGGTACACAAACTGTGGCCTGTTCATAGGATAGACTACCACATACTGATAAAAATAGGATAACTACTTAGACACATAACACCATGGACAATTTATTGGGTGACGGAAACAGACCAGAAATATTTATTATATACACACAGCAGGACTGCATTCCAAATACTAAAATTAGCAACTCATCCAATAATCTTATTTATTGGTTAAACCAGAAAAGTAAAAATATGTAAGAAAATCTTGGGTTGGAATTCATAACAATAAACTAGTGAACAATAACAAGAAATGTCTGTGAATTTGAATTAGAAATGCAGAAAAGAACAGAAATCCAAGAAAATAGATTAGCAGATACACTCAACTGATTGTTTACAAAAGTATAATAAAAACAAAAGTGGTAAAGCAATTAGGCATCTATTGTTATATATAAAAAAGAACTTCTGTACATAAGCCTCACACCTTATAAAACTTAACTCAAAATGAATCAGGGACTTCATTGTAAAATTAAAAACTAAGAAACTTTTGAAGACTGGGAGAATGAAGATTAAAGACCAGATCTCTCCTAAGTTGCTGGTGGGAATGTAAAATGTCCAGCCACTTTGGGAAATGGTCAGCAGTTCTACAAATAGTTAAATATTCACTTAACAAGTGGCCTAGAAATTTCATTCCCAAGCATAAACCCAAGAGAACTGAAAACATATACCCACAAAAACTTGAACGTGCATATCAGCATTTTTCGTAATAGTCAAAATCTAGACACAATACAAAACCCATCAACAGATGAGTGAGTAAAAAAACCCAAAGTTATACAAGGGAGTGTTACTCAGCCATAAAACTGAAGTACTGCCTCATGCTATGTAGCAGGCATGAACCTCGACTATAGCAGTATCTATCAATAGCCTGGTTACCAATAGTGTACCCTAGTTTTATAGACTGTCACCTCTGGGGAAAAGTAATGGGTATAAGGGATTTCTTTGTTATTTCTACCAGTTACACATAAATTTAACATAACTTCAAATATTTTCAAACTATATATCTGATAAAGGATGACTTAAAAAATGAGTCAAAAGAATCCAAATAGGGAAAGAAGTAAAACTGTTTTTATTTGCAGATTTACATGGAAAACCCTAAAAAATGAGTCAATAAAAATCTGGCGAAAGGTTTCCATAAGTTGCCATGATCTTCTGTGATCTTCAACCATGCAAGGTGACAAATAAGCCTATGAAGTATATATATGGTCTCATACTATAGGGAGTGAGCAGTAAAGAAGACTAAGTCAGAAAAAAGAGTATCCTTGGTTACTCCATTTATATATAATTATAGAAAATGTGAACAAATGTATACTGACTCAGGAGGGCCTGGAAGTGTTCAGGGGAAGTGGGGGGCACAAGGAGAGGGGTCTCAGAGACACGCCCAGGTGACAGCAGTCCCATGACTGCATGTATATGTTAAGCCACTTCACATCACATGCTTTAAAGATCTACAATTTATTGTATGTCGATTATATACTGTAGCATGCAACTGGCTGGGATTAAAAATTCCATCCTAATCTCACCCGCTGACCAACTACTTCTGAAAATTTTATTTAAACAATGGAAATATTAATTTTGTCCTACAAATGAAGGTAATTGGCAAGGAAGAAAAACTAAGGAACTAAAGGAGACACTAATACTCTTTTCTCCTCTCAAGAAAAGGATGCTAATGAAGACATAAAACATAAATGAAGACTTCATCAAAATTAATGTTCATTTTGACAACTTCAATTTTTTTAAAATCTATTTGGGAGCTTTATTTTGTTGGCAAGGAAGTATAATTTGTGTATTATGTTATAAGAGCTGGTATCAGTCTTAATTATCTCCTATTCAGGATTTATGAAAATCAAGCTTTAATGAAAAAGAAATATTTTCCTCCTTCCTCATGACTCTGGAAAGCCAGTAGTACTGTGATTATGGTGGCCAGAGAGCTGTAAGATCAAGTGTGCCTGATAAATGCTTCAAGGAGGTTCTCTATATTGTAATCCTATATCACTATTTAAATTAAATATAATTGTAAGTGTTTTTGAAGGTAAATACTATGAAAGAATTCCTTGTCGGATTATATATATCACAGGAAAAACAGAAATGGCAGCCTTTTCCTTTTCTTTTTAATTATTATATTATTTTTTATTACAGTAACAATGTCTTACAATACTGGATTTAATATGGAGTGCAAGTTCGCACTTTTTCAGAGGTTTATAACAGGACCACCACCAAGTCACCCATAACCCTCACCACAGTCCACAGGCACCCCCTCACTTCCTTCTTCTCATCCTCCCAATCTTTTCTTTTTTTAGTGCCACCATAGAAACCAAGATCATTTACATTTGAAACCAAACTGAGATACAGAAAAAATATACAGATAGAAACACAAATCTAGTGTTTGGGAGAAGAAAGCATCTCAAAGGTTATATAGCAAAGTGAGAAAAACACAATTATACATAAGCCAAATTCATATCTCAGGTAACTTTTTCTTTCTTAAATTATCACAGTAGATAAATGATTTTCCTGGTACCCAGTTACTCAATATAATGAATTATATTCAGTAAAATTCAAAGAATTTTAATTCTAGTAGGTTAAAATGGATGTGTATGCCAGTAAAGTTAGGAGTTTTCAAAAATGCCCTTTGGAATTTTCCCCAAAAGATGAAAAAGAAAACTCAAATATTAGATTTGGTTTAAAAAATACAAAAAAGAAAAACAAGTTAAATTGTATTTATCTATGTGATCTAGAGAAATCCACAATATGAGCACCAAGCATTTTACTACATAAAAAGTATATGAAGAATGAGAGAAAATTCATTTTTACAAGGGAGTCCCCTTAGCTATAGAAAATTCATTTTTACAAGGGAGTCCCCTTAGCTATCGAGCAAGTTAACACTGCTAAATTAGCATGACTGACAGAATTAAGACAGAGATTCTCAACCTCAGCTATACTGACTTTTGGACAATTTCTACTTGTCAGCATCTGGCCTCTGAATTTAACCCCCCCCCCAAAAAAAAATCAACTAAACACAAAAAAGTAAAGCAGAAAAATTGGAAAATGCTGTATGGCTTATAAAAAAACAAAGAGCAAAATGATGGATACAAGTCCTTTCTTATAATCACTTTAAATGTAATTGCATTAAACTCTCCCATCAAAAAATGGAGATTGGCAGAACAGATAAAAGCACATGCAGCCATTCTGTGCACTGGAGAGTCACCTTAGCCAAAGACATAAAGAGAACGCAAGTGAAAGGAAGAAGACAGGTGTCTCCAGTAAGTGGTAAGCAATATTATAACCACTCGAGGTGATATCAGCCAAAAGACAGGAAGAACCCAAGTTTCCATCAGGAATTAAAGGGATACACAAAATGAGGGATAGTCACACAACGGACTAAAGAGGTATGAAGTCCTGATAGGCTACAATATGGCACACGGTTTCCGAGGTAAAACATCCAGAATAGACATAAAGTAGATCAGCAGTTCCTTAGGAGTAAGAAGGATAAAGCAATAGTGAAGTGAAAATTAGAAGGCTTCTGAGGTAATGAAAATGTTCTTCAACTATAGAAATGGTTGCACATACCTGCAAATACACTAAAATACACTGACTTACTTGTACTTTTGAGTGAATTACATGGCATATACACTAGGTCTCAATACAACTCCATTTGTAAAAAATGCAATTTTATTTCTACATATCATGAAAAACTTAAAATGTTTTCACTTTTAATGTAGCAGAATATATACAATAGAGAAAATAAAAAACTTTACTAAAAGATTTAACTAATTGAAACATATTCAAAATTTCAATATAATGACAGTTGTCCTTAAATTGTTCTACAGATTCCAGTCAAAATCCCAATGGACCTCTAATATTTAAGATGCAGACTGCTAAATTTGCAGTAAAGAGTGGAGGGCCAGGAAAAATCAAGATACTCTTTAAAATAAAGAACGGGAAGGGAAATGTAATTACACAACGTTAACACTTTGGAAGTTATACTGATGATTGCCTAGAGAGCTTAGAGAGGAAAACACAAAGCCTAGAAAGTGATCCACCTACACCTGTTGGAACTTGATTTATACAGAACAAGTCTTGTAGCTCACATCTCAAATCCTACACAATCAAATGTGGGTGGCTTAGACTTACATGGGAAAGAAACCTATGAGACTTAAAAGACAGGGTAGAATAGAAGGAAAATGCAGAAGGCCAGTGAGATTGGACTAGTGCCAATGTTAAACCATAAAAAATCACTAAAAATAATGCAGTTCTGAAGCATAAGCAGATAAGAATAGCACATCCAGAATATCCCCAAATGCATGTAAATTGATATGAAGAAAGTGGCATCTCAAACAAGAAGGAAAAAGATGGACTTTTTCATAAATAATGCTGGGACAACTGGGTAACTTCAGGGGACAGGCAACTTAATAAGATCCATGTTTCCCATCATCCACCACATAAAATACAAATGGATCAAAGATCTATAAAGAAAATAAAGCCACAGGATTATTAGAAGAAAACATGGAGAAATTCCCTTTATAGCCTTGAAGTGATTCAAAGTTCAGATGTCAATAAACAAAATTCATAAATTCTACCATATAAAAATTTAAAATCCTGCATGGCAAAAGAAAAAAAAGTCCTAAAGCAAAGACAAAAGACATTACCCCCAAGTGTGAAGCCTTACACAAAGGACAGGTGTGGAATGACTCCCTTGTTCCACCTGCTGTAGCCACCGGGAATTCCTGGCTCTTCAAACTGGCCAAGTTAGCAGCAGCCTCTACGCTCCTGCAGAATCCATAGGGCTCTGCCCCAAGTTTCCTTTATGTCAAAAGCTCAAATGTCAGCATTGGGGGCTCCTGGGATTACTTTCCACACAATGGAAAAGGCCCACTGCCCAGCCCAGCATGCCCACGCCCGGTTTCATCTTTCATCTCATCACCATTTAATTGACATTATATATTAAGTACGTTGTCTGTCTCCACTCACTACAATGAGAACTCCCCGTGGGAAAAGTTTTTATCTGTTTTGCTTTCTTCATCATCCTCAACACCTAAAACAGCCTAAGTAAAGGCTTACCCATGTTTAAATGAAGAAACAACCTTTCACAAAACTACTTCTGGAACAATAGCATTTATTGAAATATTAAAGTCTTTCAATTTATCAAATTATAAGTTACTTCCATCAACGGCATGAAAAGGCATCCCTAGGTAAAATATCATCATCGTGTATGCTTTCCCCAAAATGTAAACTATTTGTTTTCAAAGGCAAACAGAGAGACAGTTAGGAACCCAATTTATAAGAAATTAAAAACTAGGTTTTAAAAAATCAAGAACAAATGTCAGACTTTATAAAGTAAAACTGAAAATGATTTGAATCCCACACATCCATCTAAATCAATGTACTCTGCTATGAAGCTAAACTGAAGTAGAGAGAAGGTCCTAACTCAGCAAAACAAGCATTTATTACTTGCCAGCCAAGACAGAGACTGCAGGCCAAAGGGTGCAGCCTAGAAGAAACCCCAGGGGTCACCTAGAATCAATTCCTTTCTTTTACACAAGAAAGAAACTGAGGACCTGAAAGGACCTGTGGAAAACTCAAAAGTGTCCTATGTCAAAATTAGCAAGAATGGAAAAACACTGGAAGCAAAAGAGGAGAAAAGAAAAACATTTTGTTCAGTTGTGATTCTTGCTATAGTAAAATTCAGCTTTTATAGAGTTAGAGACAAAATACATCTCCATGGAAACAATGTTCCCAAGCATACGTGTGAGGCTGGGAAGTATGTTTTCTATGCAGGTCTTCACATCCTAAGAATACACACAGGTTGAGGGGGAGGAGGTGCTGAAAAGAGCAGTTGGTCAGGCTGGTCTGGACTTGAATTGTAGCTTCACCTCTCACTGACCCTGGCTAATCTCAGCCCTCTCCAACTACAGGCTTTATCAGTGAAATGGAGATAATTAATCAAGATTTACATTATATGTTTGGCAAGAATGTGAAAAAGTACAAGATATCTTATTCAGGGCCTCCTACATTCGTGGCTACAGACACAGACTTTTCATTTCTTTTATGGTTACCATTTTGTTAACCGACCAGCCAATGAGTGGGACTGCAATGAGCAGGCAGAAGGCACTGCCCACATTGCTGGCAACAGGGACTGGGCAAGTACTTGACTACAGCCGTCAGGTGTTTACTTGTTTGAGGTAAAATAAAAGGTTGCTTAAGACTTCAGGATGTAGAAGTGAGTGATCAGTTCTGACTGATCGATTATACTATATCCAAAGCGCCACCCATCAGGAACCCTCTCCACAGTCTCTGTGATTACATTAGATGACCAACTTTTGCTCCAGAGCTTCCAGATTACACCATGGTCTCACTCAAACAGGTGGCAGTTTCTTGCATTTTCTGACCCTCTATTCAGAAAGGATTTTTCCCCTCCTTATAGAAGACAGGTGAATTAAAAAAAAAAAAAAAGTAATGATGTAAAAATGCCACCCCACACTCACATACTTTAGGGTGAAAAATTGTTCTCATTTGGGGGTAAGAAGGGAGATTCCAGCAAAATTTAGTAACAATTCATAATCTAAAAGTCAAGTTCCAACAATGCACCTAGAAGCTGATATTTACACACAGAGAGACATTCTAGAAATGGCCTATTAACAGAGAACACCAAAAGAAAACATACCTGGGATGATATCATTGATATGCAAGAGAACTGTACTTTCAACACTTGCAAAGCTGCAAAGCTGTACTCCATCAAATCTTCCATCCCAGTTGCCAATAGGATTATCCTAGAAATTAACAGAATAAACTTTAAAACATTTGTCAATAAAATGTAAACACTAAAGTCTTTATTTTCCATAAAAGGATCCTATTAAACATTTACATGGTAAATTTTAACTTTTCCTAAAAGAAAAAAGGCTGTACTGGTATCACTGCCACAGTAATAGGGTTTTTTATAAGTTTTTTTGTTGTTCATTTGATTTTTTGGGTTTGTTTGGGGGCTTAAAAATATAAAGATCCAAGCACAATCAAGTAAACCCATAGATGAACAAGAAATCAAAAGTATTTCACATTTTATGAATCAAGAAAGACATAGAGGCTACAGTAATATAAGCCTCACCATATTATTTTACCCAGAAATCTGCCTCAAGTTAATTCTAGCTTGCGCTCATCACTCTTTCACATTCATCGAGCATGTAGACATTCAATCTGCACTTGTATATGCCTCTGTTCATACCAAGTCTATTTTTTCATTGTTCTTTTGGTCACTTTACAGGCATGTACAAATTTCCTCCAACATGAAGTTTTTCTATGTAATTCTTTTACATTCTAGCCTAACAGCCACCAGTCCCAGCTCATGGAGCAAGTTAAGAGATGGGTCAGTCTGACAACTACCCTGAGCACCAGTGTGTACCACATGCTACATGTCTTTGGGAATGAAAAGAGATGAACAATAAATACTGTTTGCCAGAACTCTCCTCTCGAGAAGTGGTCTACAGGGGCTTGGAATGAAGGCAGCAGAAGTGGGGAGAGGTGGCCTGCTGTCCAGGCAACCTGCCCCAAGTGCATGAGGAGACTTGGAGGCTGCGATCAAAGGAAGGAAAGGCCAAAAGGCTCTGCCAGGTCTGAGCATCAACCCAAGGGACCCAGCAGGGGAGACTAAACCCCAGTCACAGTGCCCGCACAGTGCCAACCTTCTCTCAGCAGTGTCTCCTCCAAATAACACTGAATTCTAAAGAAAAATAGTGTGAAGGTGAGCTTCATCGTAAGCTATTCTAAGGGACCCACAAGCTTTACTCTGGCTCTGGCTTTTCACATGGTAAATGTTCTGTAAATGTTTGCCTAAACATAGCCATGTTTGTCTAACTGATGGGTGGCAAATAGAAATCCTAGAATTTCCAAACACAGGATGACAAATTTTTGCTAGAACATCCATACCCTACTAACCAAAAAATATACTCACGTAGATAAAAATAATCACTAAAAACATCATGAGTGCAAAGATCTGTTACTCACATCCTCTCTAGTGTTTAATAATTCTGAGTTTTCTTTACACCTAACAAATTCTTGTCCATTCTTCCAGTGTAAGATAAAATGTTCTCAGGCTTTTTCTCTCTTAACCATCCAACCTGCCCTGTTCTACACCTTATTAACAAAAATGGTAAGATAATATTTAAGATAATATTCAAACCGAAGAGCGAATATTGCCTGATTCTACTTATAGGAGGTGCCTAGAATCAGCAGGCACAGAAAGCGGGGAGCAAGGAATTGGGAGTGACAGCTTCAGCTGGAGATATTGGAAATAGCTGTGGAGATGGCCGGGGTGACGGGCGCTGAACAATGGGCATGCAGTGAGTGCCACCGAACTGGACACTGACAATGATTAAATGATAAACTTTTAAAGGGATCAATTTTATGTTGTATATACTCATTTTACTACTATAAAAAGTTGGACTTACATCCTAAAAAAATTACCCTAATTTACTCCTCTAAACCAATATGTTTTTTTTCTCTTTAGCTATGTTCCATAAATGACTTTTGTACTACTCAGATAAAAGTCAATAAAGTTTTGCAAAATATTATAAAAAGAAAAAAAGATTATCAAAAAAAAAAACAGATTACAAAAAGAAAAACAGATTATTCATTTCAAAAATAAGACATTAATATTTGGGGACCTTTTTTTCTGGTTTCTTTGCAATTATAAAAAGACAAACTTAAAGACTGAAAACAATGGGAAAAAAGAGTAATTATATTTCCTGTATCTTGAGTCCTGTCTCATAGCAATGTTGCTTTACAAAAAAGAATTTAGAGTATGTTCTTTAAACTACTTGAAGGTAGTCCATTTTAAAATATTCAAGACGTGTTTAATCTATACCCAAATTGATCAGAAAACTAACAGCTGCCTATCTTAACAAAGATAAGAGAACCCGAAAGTCTCTTACCATATCCACACCAACAAAATATCCCAAGCTTTCTTTCCCAGGCAAAACATCACAGAATATAACTGTTCCAGATTCTATAGTTTCTCCAAGCTTCAAAGAAACTCTGGAGTTTATTTCCAGAGGGGGAAGCTCAGCCTGCATGGTGTCCACTGGGCCTGCATAGTCACTCTCCAGCCCATTATCATCATCTTCTATGAGTTCCAGCTTGTCGAGAGCAACGAATACCCCACAGTCTTCTTCACACTGGAAAAGCTGTTTTCCTTGGTAGATTCCATCTGTGAAGCCTTGGCCACGACCTTCTTCCTAGTTTTTAAGAGAGAGAAGATAAAATGAAAGACAGACACAAGAAAGATGGTCCAGAATAAAAGGGATCACCCTGGAGATTTCGGGGAGGATCAGTGGAAAAATTCTAAGTGACACACACAAGAACTGCAATGATTGGTGACTGCTGTTGGTTTTAGGGTTTTTTAAACCAGGAAGAAACTGTATCTGATGCTGAAGTAAAATTACTTGATCATTTCAAGTCATCATTAGCTTGTAAGAAGTGGGAATGGATGTTACATTGTGATTTAAACAATAATTTTATTATAAGAAAAATTTACTTTAACGGTAACATTAGCTTTCATGATGGAGCACTGTGTGCCAGCCACTGCCCTCAATTCTGAGTCAAGAAATCACAAAAACACTGTCAGTTGTGTACGCGTCACCATTTTACTGACGGACAAGCAGACCCGGAGAAGTCAAGGAGCCTGGCTAAGGCGCGTGGCAAGCCAGCTGTACACAGTAGCACAGGATTCCGACCTCCAATTGTTCTACAGTCATTGCTTTAAAAATCAAATCATGGAAACAAGGCATGGAATTCTGCTTGAAAGAATATCAAGACATAACCCTTTTAAGTTCCAGAGAAATTTATGAGAGTGATCAGTTTTATTTTTAGCAGAACTATTCTAAGAGAATTTTTGTATATAATATTGGGTCAACTAGAAGCAAGTTTAGATTATGGCAACTCATTAAAAAAAATCATAAACCCAAATTGTCACTATGAAAAACTGAGAAACCTCAGTTTATAGGTGACAGTATCTTTTTTTTTTTTAAGATTTATTTATTTATGGATAAGAGGTACAGGCCAGAGGTGCAGGGGCTGTGAGAGGATTCATCAGAGACAGTGTGGGGAGCAGAACAGGCTGACTGACGAAGTACAATGCTGAGGGGAGCAGCAGGCGGGTCAGGAGAGGTCTGCCGTGCCATGTGGGTCACGTGACCTCTGGGGGGGGGGGTCAGACTCGCATTCAGATGGCTGCAGCTAGCTTGAAGTGCTGCATTCTAACCCGTTGCGCCACCAGGGAGGGCCCACAGCATCTTAATTTATCATTAGAAAGTAAATCCTAAGGAGAATGAATATTAAAAATCCAGGCGATTTCTGGGATGATTTATTTTGTATTTATTTTGTATTTAACAAATCACAGGTGCAATTTGTGCCTAGAAAAAATGAGCGCACGCACACATACACACACACACAGAGTGCACTAAGATGGTTTATCAAACTTACCAGTAATTCTACTCCAAAGAATATTCCCGAAACTGTCCTCTCAGCTAATAAGGGTCCTCTGAAGCGCACAACTCCAGGAAATTTTTCTTCCCCAGATCTCAGTTGCACTTTCACAGGGCAGCCCACATCTATTTGCAGGCCTTTACTTAGCCTGTTTCTGTTTTTAAACAGGCTGAACCTTTCTTCACAATTGGTAATTGCCAAAAGTAACTCTGTGAATTTTTCATTTATTTCTACCACATCCTTTTCATCAACAAAAAGTACAGCATGTGGTTGCTCTAGGATTTTTAGTCCAATCTGATTTTTCTTGCCTTTTGCAGAAGGAATCCTCGAATGCCCCACAGACCGGTCTTGGATATACTGTCCTATACTTCCCTTTGGCACTTTAAGAAGCTTTTGGGTCTGTTTGTCTGTCACACTGCATTCTTGAAGAAGCAAGTAAAAAATACGTTCTTCCCAGTAAGGTGAAGTGATTTTTTCTTGGCTCCATAAGCCTGAACTCATTGTGATATTAACGCCAGATATTAACTTAAAAAGAAGAGAACTAGTAAGTTTGTAGTAAAACTGCAAAAGGTAAATTCACTGGCAGTCCCAAAGCATGCTTTTAGCAATTTGGTGTCCATGCTGTAAAAAGACAGCAATCAAAATGCCTAGAGGACAAGCAAAAAGAAACTTTATGCTTCATTCCACATAAGTTAAAAGTAAGGTAAAGACTCTAAAAATCTCATTTAGATAATAAGACACACACTTTCAGAAATATCTAAAAGCATTAAAAGAACAGATACTTGTATTGACTGTCACTGTGGATATTTGATGAACGCAATCCAATCATAAAGGATCTCAAAGTACAAATTTTTGTTTCCGAGGCATTTTAACTTATAAAATCAAATATCTAATGAAAGACAACCTTATATACATATTCTGATATGTTTAAACTTTAAAAAGCAGCATTTTGAGCTCCCCTAATTTAAATGCATAAGCCACTATTCTGGGGCAAACACACATTTAAAAAGCTATTATTTCTGTCCATCAGCTAAGTAAAACAGTATCTATCATATTTATTACATTGAACATCACATCAATCAAAAGTCCATAAAACCACACCCTGAAACATCATAACTCATTTATCTACACACCACATTTTGATAATGCTACAATTTTGTCTGTTTCAATGCCTTAATCTTGTACATTTTGCCCTTTCATATTAATCACAGCTATCATTTAACTTCTTGTAATCATAATACTATAAATCTGATTATATCAAAGATGCCTTAAAATCAATTTTTAGCCATCAAAACTGGTACAATAGCACAAGGAAATGTAATTATGGCCCAGGACCAAATATGAAAAGTTTTTTATGCCACAACTTTATGTATGCTAGAGAGGAACACACAAAAGGCATTTCTTTTTGGTTTCAAGCTTCATTTAGAATTTTAACAAGACTACTCCTCTTTCACAAGTAGCCTTTTCAACCCTACTTTCATGTATTTGTCTTAATTCCACTTGCGGGCACTGTCAACTTCAGCACGAAAAGAATCAACTTATAGTGGCGGCTCTATAAGGCAGATTCTACCTGTGAATTCTTGGCACCATCTAAGTAAGACGCCTTAAGAGGGCTCCCCAAAGAGCTCACAACCTGTGAGTTTAGCTCTATTCCTTCAAAAATGAAATACTGCTATTTCTAACTAAAATTCCTTTAAAGGGTCAACTTTTTCAACATAGAAATAGTCTTACTTTTTCTTGACCTTTGAATTACTTCTGTGTGTATGTAAATTATTACCTGTGACTCTCAATAGGCAAAACTGTTTATTACTTTGTGAAAAGACTACATTGTTTTCTGAGTTCTGTGGCTGCTTTCTATATTTTTAAAGTCTCCAGTTTCCCCTTGCACTCAGCCATCTTCTGTGGTTTCCTGCAAGGACACATTTGACTTCTTTTCAGCCCTGGTTGCTTTCCAACCTATTTCCAGTAAGTTCTGAGAAGGCAGGTGAAAAGATATATGTGTTTGGAACACAATATAACATTAACCAAAAAAAAAAGAAATATAAAAAGCCTAAGCAGGTCTTTTGGGAGTAAACTGCATAGGCTTTATTGCACAGACAATATTTTGGTCACTCCCAAAGGCTAAAGTTGTAAAAAATCAACCTTTAAAACAATGAGCTGCTATTTAGCTCTTTTCAAAGTATTTAAATATTTTGGCCAAAAACAAAAACAAAAAACCCTACTTTAAGTACGACAACTCAATTTTTTGTAAAGAAATTATGGTTTAAAAAAAAAAGAAATTATGGTTTTAATTCTTAAAATTATAGTTTCACAAATTAAAATTAAGAACTTCCTTGAATCTTAATTGCTACCATATACCAACAAAATCAACAGTATTGGTTCTCTAATAATTAATGCCATAATTTAAAATAGTATCAATGACACATTACCAAGGCAAAACTAAATCACTCTACATTATATATTAGGACATTGTGTTTCAAGTGAATTTGATTACAAAAGTGTCTTTTTGCAAGTAATTGAAAAGATAGTGCATAGTAAAATCTGGTATAATTACTTTGGCTTATAAGGAGGTCAAAGGCAAAATAATAGAAGTTATCGAGGGTCATATTTTAAATCGGATTACACCAGGAACAGCAGCATTATCTCTACCCCATGTGAGAACAAGTGGGAGTGAGCTTGCACTCGGTAGCAGGATGGGCTGTGTTGGGCTGCGTTAGACGAGTGGAATAGTCCCACCAAAAGTGATAAAATATTTAAAAAGCATTATCCCAAACTAAAAGGACATGGCCCTTTCTCATTTAGAAGGAATACATTAAGAATGAATAGGTCTGGAACTAGCATAGGAAAAATTGACTCTCTTCACTGCAACTGATAGCTAGAGAGAGTTGACTGGGGAATTTTATAGTAAGATGATAAATGTGATGATCATTAATATCTCAATACACTGGCATTACAGCAGAAATACTTCAACAAAGAGACTTTCCTTCCACTGTGGATGCGAACAGAAAGCCCAGTCTTCCTTCACTAAGATAACAATTCAATTAAGTCTTAAGAATCCCAATCAATAAAAACTGACTCAACACTATAAGGCAAAGGTTTAAATCCCACTATTTGTGAGTTATTTATCAATCAAGAAGGGTGATAACTTGTTTAGTATTTTTGCAAAAGAACCATTGCATTAAACACTGAAAATTTAGGAATTGGTGGTTGCTCTCATTTGTGTTCTTTTTTTCTACTTGTTTAAAAATTGTCTTCAGTAGTATGCTTCACTCTGAGGGTAAATATGTGGCAACTCATTCATCTAAATACCACTGAACCTATTTCAGGCTGGCAAACTGGGTGATTACGAGTATCCTGATAATTACGAGTATCCTGATTACCAAAGAGTTGGAATACAGTAATCTATTTAACCCTAAACCCTATTCAACAGGAGGCTTTTCTTTTAAAACAATAGAGATGAGAGAAGAGAGAGTCACAAAGACTTGAAAATATATCTGAGTGTCTGAACTTGGTGATGGTCTTTCTGGATTCTGAAAAGGAGGATTTAATAGTATTAAAATAAATTGTTAGTACAGTTATATTAAACCAATAGGACTGCAAGGTGCAAATATTTATCTGATTGCTATCAATGCATCTTGAAAACAAGATGATGAAGAAATAAGCTTTAAACAAAAATATTAAAGATTAGAATTACCACATTCTAAAACATATAGTACAGATGAAGGTGTGATTGGCATAAAGTTGACAATGACTAGCTAATCTGGAAAGATACAACGTCATTTTGATTTTCAGGTTGTATACTGTTCAAAGAACCTCAATTAAAGAAAAAAGACAATCTAAAGAATGTTTTACATCTCCTCTGAGATTCCTAATTATCCTAAAAACCACAGAAGTCTATCTAAATCAGAATAAAAATTGCAATACTAAAATACAAAAGAAAGAAAGATGTCCAGGACTTTCCAAACACTTTTAAATAGCTAGAATAATTACCATTTTAATAATGATTGTCTTTCACCCAAAGAACATGTTATATTCCAAAGAAATACACAGATTCCATGACCAGAAGAAAAGTGAGTTTTAATTTTCCCCATAGACTAACTTGTAGAAGTACTCAGTCCCTCAAACAAGAGGGATTTATGAAGTCATAAATCTGCATGTTCATGTCAGGAGCAGAACACTGCTGCCTCACTAAAGCTAAAACTGGCCACTGCATCTCCAAACTGAGTTCACCAAATCCTTCATCTCTGTATTTCTGATGCTCAAAGCAGAGTGAGACAAATGGTTTGAAATGAATGATTTGGGTAACTCACGTGATAACAACAAAAGCCAAAATTCCATTTCCTCATTCTAATTGCCCCAGTGATGAAATGCTTCTTTCTCAAGAAGAAAGGAGAAAAGAAAGACACAGGAGATGGGAGTATTGATTGCTTTTTACCTCAAAACTGAACTAATCCTCTGGATAAGTAAAGTCAAGATCATTGTCTGCACCACTTCATCATTACATAGATAAGAAACTTTCTTGGTTTCAAAACAATTATAAAAACTTGTTTTGAAGTTCACATTGCCATGCCTGGTGCCTGTAAATTCCTTGTAACCAATGAAAATCCCTTAACAAATTTAAGATCAGAGTGTGAAAATTAGGAACAAAACACCAGTAGTTCGATGAACAGGATAATTACTCCTTTCTCTCATGTTAAAGACACCCTTAAATCAAATAAAATCAGTTTACGCATGCCAAGCCACAAGAAATCACGCCTGCTGCATGTCGCTTTACATAACAGGTGCCCTGTTTTTATCAGCTCTTGATAAAAGTTACCATTCAGAGGAAGGCTTTTTTGCAAGAATTTGCTGCAGAGCTTTAGAGAATGTTCTGGGTGTTATCAACATTCACAGTACATGAACTTCCACAAGAATTTCCAGCAAATCACTTTCTCCTAATGCTGTTCTACTTCAAATCCACCCACTAACCAGCCGGGAACTGGCAGGCTAAATTCTTAGAACCATTCAGTCTACTTGGGGCATGAGGGGGTGTGCAGAAAACCAACACTTGAATGAACACCCTCTGTAAAGGCCTGGATTTCTCTCTGGAAGCCTATGATTGCAAAAAGAACAATTTTATTAAGATCCCTATTAGCCCGAATTCAAATGTAAGGTTAAGTGAATGCGCCTTCACTGAGCTAAGGCTAAACTCAGTCTCCAGAGGGGCTGGGGACAGAATGAGGGCAGGAGTCACAGGGGCTGGAGACCGGAAGGTCTGATACCTGGAAGATGACCATCACCCTAAACATGCTAACACCACAGGGTGGAACAGTCAAGACGCCAACGACGTGAATAGCCGGGCAGCTGACCCACTGAGAACCAGCCCACAGCGCTACTTTCCTTCAAGCCTTCACGGTTTCCCCACGGATCATGAATAAGACAATAAAGAAAAATAAAAAGATGAAAGAATACCTTGTTTCAACAGAGCGCACGTTTCAACTAAAGAACTCCGGGTTGTTGTGTAAAACCTGTCTCACCCTGGAAAGGGGGAAACTGAAAGAAAAAGCAAAACACGTATTAACGAGGCCAGAACCCCGACTGCTCTTCCTGGACAGGAGCCACCGACACACTAAAATCGATCGATCCATCCGATTCCGCGTCAGATCACTACCCGGGGCTCCTGATGCCAACCAGGGCCTTGGGGAGCCAGCCAGAGGCCATGCCTCAGTTTCTCCCGCTGTAAATGAGGAGCCTGCAGAGGAGACGGTTGCCTGCGCAGCTCCCGCCCCAAGTTGCTCTCCTCTCCCGGGGTCGGGGCGGTGACCATCACGGTCCCACCACCAGGGCCGGGGAGTGGACAAGCCCCGGAGGTGGTGGAAAGCTGGGGCTGACGTCAGCGGGCTCGGCACCCCGCGGGCCCGGACGCCCCCCCCCCCCCCCCCCCCCCCCCCCGGTCTAGGCGACTAACGGGTCGGCGCCGAAGGCCCGACGGCGGCGGCAGCGGCGGCTCGAGCTCCCAGAGGCCGGGGACCGGCGCTTGAAGGTCCAGGGCCGTCCGCCGCTCGCCAGCTCGGTCGCCCGCCCGCTCACTCACCTCCGGCGGCCGGGCGATGCCTCCCGCCCGCGCAGTTAGCCGGCGCCTCCAGCCGGCCTGGAGCCCACTCCCACCGCCCTAATATTTACCTCCGACGCGCGGCCCCAGCGCAACCGAACCTGCTACCTGGGCCCGCCCCCACCTGCCCCGCCTCCGAGCCGCCCTGGGTGCGAGGGTGGGAGGGAGGGGCGGGCAACAGCCTTGGGAACCAATCGCAGCCCGAGATGCGTCCCTTGCGCACGCTCTGATTGGACCTCAGTGTGACAGTCCTTCCTCCAATGGCTGCCGTCCCGGAGCGTCCAGAAGGGACTTTCCGCTCTGTCAAGCTCGGTGGAGCCAAAGGGACAGTCGCGGAACGAGGCAAAGAGGCGAGGCCAGGGGGCGGGCACTCTAGCTAATTGGAGGAGAAACGGAGAGCGCCGCGTCGCCATTGGCTAATACCGGCTGCTGAGGCGGGGCGCTCGAGGTTTAGCTGTCAAAACTCCTGCGGACCTGGAGTTGGGGCTGGCGCGAGAGCAGTCCAGCCGAGCGCTGGAAATAGGAGTTAAGCCTGAAAATCAGACCTAAGTTTGAATCCTTTGCGCGTTCAGCTAGTGACCTCGTGACACAGGGAACTCACAGCCATGCTGAGCCTCAATTTCCTCATCTGTAAAGTGGAGTCTTCTCATGTGTCGTACAGGGTTGTTAAATAGCCTATGTCGAACCTCTCTCCTTTCCCCTCGGATTCTGCCTGGGATCCTCACACTTCTAAACTTCTGCTGCCATCTTTCCCAGTTTGGGGAAGCTGTCCCACGGGCTGTGAAGAAGGGGTTTCCACACGCAGCCTCACTCAGTTCTGGCCCCCAGCCAGGAGTTGGGGTGTAATTAAGGACCTTTCAATTAGAAGAGAGGTTTGTGATTCCCAAAAGTGCTCAAAATATTTAAGGAAGTGCTTTTTATAATCGGTCCCAGAGCCTTGCCGCACTGGATACTCCTGTTAATTAATTCCTTCTCCTTTGACATTTTATGTACCAATTATAGAAGGTGATTAATACCAAGGAAGGAAGAGGGAGGGGCATGTGTGTGTGTTTAATCATGGCAGGGAAATTTTCCCCAGGGCACAGTGACATATTTCTGTAGATCTGGGGAATTTAAACCAGCAAGTACATAAAAGTCACATGAGGGATCACTAACAGTTCTAGGGAACAGGCCACCTGTCTCCCCTGTCATAAGCTTCAGGAATGAAATGGACATCTTTAGCTTCAATCCATTCTTGTCCTTCCTTCGTCCATCCTCATCCTCTCCCCCAAGCTTCACTACTTCTCACACTACTGTAGAAAACAATTACCACTACATAAGAATCAACAGGACTGGTTTGCAGTGTGGCCTTAAGGAAAATCGTCCCTTGTTGGGTTTAGATTCCCTGATAACATCTATAAGTCTCGGGTCACAGTCTGGCTGTCTGGGAGAAAAATTCATCCTGAAGATTGCTTGAACCACACAGTAGGGTGGTGGATGGAGAAGGGAAAGTGGAGTAGGAGAGAAAAATATGAATCCTTTTAGAAATAGCAAGTATTCTCTTCTACAGTCTGTCACACTCCTCACAGATCCCTACTGAATCCTCCCTCCTTGATATTGCCCCTGGCAGCTTCTCTCATTCATATTATCTACTGGCTGTGAGAGCATTTGAGTTTGCCACCCTGGACTAGAGCATCTTCCTTCCTGTGGTGGCATCTGGTGCTGCCGAGCCGTCTGCTGCCCTAGGAATTTCTTTCCACTAGCTGTCATCAGATCAATCACTCAGTCCTACTGGCACACACCCCTGAATCAGACAGTGTCAGCGCCGGACTTCACCCAAGAGACACTCTCCCAAGCTGGACCTGATAAACAGGGCTTACCCCAATTACCATCTCCATCCATGGGCAATGCCCATCTCAAACATTGTGATCAAAACAGTTCTGAAGCTGTATTCAGCTTTATAGAGAAGTGAGATGTCAGCCAGGGGATAAGACGGGGGAATCAGGTCACCGTGCTATTATTTGCAGCCCTTAACAAGCCAGCCTCTCACTTTACAGACGGGAGAGTAAGGTCCAAAAAGGGAAAATAATTTGTTCCCAACTACCCAGGAGTTAAGCAGACACGCTGATTTTCCTGATTTCAAACCGGGGCCCTTTTCAGCTCTTTCTAAATAGATTCTCCAACCCAAATTCCTATCTCTCTGCCTTTGAAATCCTCCCTTCATTTAAAATCCAGCCAAAGTCCAGCCTCTTTCAAGGGTCTTTGCAGATGGTTCCAGGCCCCGGTGATCACCTCTGTCTCTCCACAGCCTGTTCCCCTCAGCCTGGCCCTGAATTCAAAAAAGTCACCTGAGCTACTGAGTAGGTATGAGGAAATACAACTGCATCCAAGAGTGATGTCATCCACACTCTTGATCACAAGATCACTTACTTAACGATTGAGGTTAGTTCTCTGAAGGAGAGCTGCTCTGAGTAAAGGGAGAGCAGCTGGGCACTCAGGGAGGAACTTTGTGAGGAAAGCACCTTTCAGATGAGATAGGAAGCTGCCTGGCCAAAGGGGGTGAGGGGGAGCATTCCCAGCAGAGGATGCAGGAATGTGCGTGACACACTGAAGGAAGTGAAAGAGGCAGCACAGAATGCATGGATGCGAAAGTGAGGCAGGGTCTTTGGGCCCTGGTGGGGAGGGGGGGTTGGTCTTCCTCCCAGGAGCAGTGGGACCCTTTGAAAGGTTTCATGCAGGGCAATACCTGTGATTCTCAGCTGTCTTCATGGTTCTCCTATTACACACAGAAAACCCAGAAAAGCCACTGGGCTAATGGGAACCCTCTCCCCTGCCCTACACACACACATACACACACACACACACACACAGCCTGGTAACCTGGCGGGACCCATGCCTAAGACCAATTCGGGGCTCAACAGGGCCTCCTCAGGAGCCCCTGCCCCTGTTCCCCTGCCCTGAGGGGAGCCCCTGCCCCTGCTCCTCTGCCTGATCCTCAGGCAGAGAAAGTCCAAGCGGGTAGCATTAGAGTTGCCGAGGCCCGTTTGAACAGGTGGACTGACTTGTTGACTGGCGAGGCCTGCCCCAAACGCCTGTCCTAACCCTCCACGCTTCACCATGGGATGCCATGTAGATAAAAAGTTCTCGATCCTAACAATCTCTCACCCTTTTCTGGAGGGGGAAGCCAGGGGCCCGTGTGTAGCTGGAGTAAAACCTGTGCACACACACCCAGCCCTGAACAAGCTATGGCACTGCTGTCCCGTGCCACATCAGGGACTCGCTCTGCCAGCAGCTAGCTATGTTCCAAGTTCTCCTTTCCACACTGGCTCCCTCTCAACCAGCCCCCTCTTACTTGAGACATGAATCTCTCCAGTCAAGCCGTGTGCCTGCTCTAGTGCACTCTAGTGAATTCTTCCCTAGAAGGGCAAAGGACCTGCTCTCTGAATCTGGGCCTGTCCCACTCCTATCCCCAAGCTCACTCAACTGGGAATTCCCGTACCCCCCATTGCTAGGCGGCACTGCCACTGCACACGCCCACCATCCTTCTGCCTTCCCCACCTCTGTGGTCCAGGCCATGGCCCACACTCCCCTGATGGCCGAGAGCAAGCCATGGGGTGACTGAGTGGGCGTCTCTTTGGGCAGGGCAGGGCGCTGCACACCAACACTCACTTTTCAATCCAGGGAAGAGTGGAGAGTGCTCCCCCTGGGGGCGTTCATTTATCTCTTTGTGAGGGACACTCAGTGCAAGTGAACATTCTGTCAGGGGCTTTGCCTCATTCACCTGAAAGGGCTTTCTGATAAGATAAACTGGGCTACTTTAACTATCTGTAAACTAATCCAGCTGAATGATAAACCCAGGCTCTCTTGTTGCCAATGACATCTGATTTCTGTGTGATTTGAAAAACGCACAGAGAGAAAAGGGGTTTCATGCTCTTCATGGGGCCCTTTGCGCTAGCTCTGAAATCCCTTTCAGAGCAGTAAATACTTTAGGAAAAATAGTCTATGTTCCAGCACACAGTCTTCCATAGGAAAGGGACATTCGTGGTGTCAGGAAGAAAAGTGAGTTATTATAATCTCTCCCGACTTCTATTTTCTGCGCCCTTTATTTATTGTTGATTTATTCCACAAACAGCTGGGTACCTGCTCTGCTCTGGGCTGTGGTCTCGACTGTAGGAGCAAATCCCTGGTTCTGGTTCCCATGGAGCGGACATTCCAGGGCGAGGGAGAAGCAGAAGCACAGGCTGTGATGACCTATTAAGCGGGGCAGTGAGACAATGTTGGGGAACTGTTGCTATGGAGATATGCAGGGAAAGACCCCTGCCTATGGGGACATTTGGACAAAACCGTAACTCATAAGGAAGCAAGCCGTGCCGCCCCCAGGAAAGGTGTTCCTCTAAGGAACAAGTGTAGGGGTCTCCCAGCAGCATTGCCGAGACAGAAGGGGCAAGGCTGGAGTGCAGAGTGTAGGAAGTTGAGTGAGACCAGAAACAGTGGTGGCGCAGGCCAGGAGGAGTCCTGAGCTCCTGCACCTTGAGGTGGGGCGCTCTGGAGTGTCTCTATGACTCAGGTGTTAGTAGGCCACAGGCAGAAGTAGGCAGCCAGTCAGGAGATTGATGCAATAGTTAGGCGAGGGTGGACCCCAAAGGAACCTTCTTTTCCTCTGCATTGGAGAAGAGTAGGGAAGTGGGAGGGGACAATGGAACTGAGGATATCAAGAAAGAAGTTGTTCCAAGTAAAAAAAGGAATATACAGCTGTCCCAGGGAGAAGGACTTTCAAGGTGATTGATGGGAGCAGGGTGATACTTGGGAGACAGGATTTGTGGTTTGTTGAGAAAGTGACCACAGGTTGGGATTAAATATAGAGCAAAGAGTGGGGCGGGGGTGAGGGGAGAGGAGACTAGGGGAATCTAAAGACCTTGGCTATGTAGGTGTAGTCATCCCAGGTCACCCTTTGAGGCAAACTATGTGGGCAGGACCTGATGTCGTTCACGACCTTCAGTTCACCTATAACCTGCCACCCAGGGCCTCAGCCCAAGCGTCAGGGCCTGTGTGGGCGCTCCCAGTGCGCCCGACAGCTGCACACTTCACCCACTGGACTGCACCAGTCTCCTGGGTGGGGA